ATTCTAGGTCCACCATTTACTTGCTATGTGTGCTTAACCTTTCTGATTCAGAATGTTTCCTTACCTACGATACTACATATGCTATGACATATATGTGAGTCACAGTAAGGATTCATAATCATGCATAGGAAAAATGTAATACAGTTTCCAAGAGAGTCTTTATTTAATAAATGGTAGCTAACATCATTAGTACAGTACCAGTGGTTATTTTTTAAAATTTCATAATAATTATAATAATCAAAGAAAGCTCTAAATTTGGGAGGATGGCAACAGCCTAAGTAGCTACAGATAATGGGAGACATTTTCTACTGAGGATCGATCAGGCACTTTCATAACAGGACCTGGGTCATTTCCTCCTTTGCTGAACTTGGCTACTCTCAACAATTTCGTATGCTATTTCGAGCCTACCAAATTATTGAATTATGGATTAAGAGACAGGATCACGGCTACTCAGAGTTCATTACTGGGTGACTAAGAAGATGCTTCATCAGTTCTCCTTTCCATTATGACCGTTTCAGCAACGAAGCATCTCGCACCCCTTCATTTCATGACCATTTTGACCATGAGAAAAATAAACAAAACAGAGAGGTCACAGTAGATTAGATATAGAACTATTTTTCCTTTTGTTTTTCCAGCCATGTTTTACATTCTCTTTCAGATAGCTTGCCTACCAGCATCTCAGTTTAGGCAAGTATGTTTTCTGAAATGTCCGTGTAGCAAATTATTTTTAACAACACCTCCCATTTCTTTTTCCAAGTAGAGTACATGACTCAGAAACTGCCTTTCCTCCTGTTGACTGTCATCTCTCTATCCCAGGATAAAGAGACCTCTCAGTGTCAATAACCACTCCATTTATGCTGGGATTCTCAAGTTAAAGAGACCTGGGAGGTGACCCAACTAGATATTACCCATAAATGTAGCTCTTTTTTAGGTGTGATCTGCTGAAAGGCTGTATATACAAAGTAACTCTTGTTGCTTTGCCAAGATCTTGCTTACATCTCTATTTTAATCCAAGTTTGAATCAAAATACAACAGTGAGATGCAAGGCTACCAAACAGTATTCAAATGCCTGTCTGATGACAAAACTCCCTAAAATCCATAGGAACTCGTGATGTATCACCACGTTCCACTTGACACCAAGACAATATGTGTAGGACCTTCTCAAGGATCCAGCTGGGAGCTACGTAGCTTATCAAAAAGCAGGGTGAGAATTATGAATCAGTCCAAAGAGTGCCTACAAAACTCACTGGCATTCTGAGAGGGCTAAGAAACCAGCACTGCCTGAGTAGTGAGCATTCATTGAGTAAAAAGGGACACTAGACTTCTGTGGGAATATATAATACCTTCGCAGCTTTTACAGCAGTCTAATCTTTTTTTTTTTTTTTTTAGAGATTTTTGCTATATGGTGCATGCGCTGGCCAGAGAGAGAGACAGAAAGCTAGAACTCACCTCACCCTCCCCCCCCTCATTGGCCATGCAGTAATCCCATTCTCTTCTCCTGGACTCAACCCACATCAACTACGTGGGAGTCCGACAACCTAACTGCTGTGCCATCTGCTGGCCCCACAGAGTCATCTAATCTTAAGATCCAGCAAATTCCAGGAACAGAAAACAAATACATTTTATCTTTAAATTTTGATGTCTTCCACTTCACTATGTTAATAAACAATAGAAAAATTCTAAAGTAAATATAAACAGTCTAATCTTTTTTTTTTTTTAAAGAGAGATTTTTGCTATATGGTGCATGCGCTGGCCAGAGAGAGAGACAGAAAGCTAGAACTCACCTCACCCTCCCCCCCCTCATTGGCCATGCAGTAATCCCATTCTCTTCTCCTGGACTCAACCCACATCAACTACGTGGGAGTCCGACAACCTAACTGCTGTGCCATCTGCTGGCCCCACAGAGTCATCTAATCTTAAGATCCAGCAAATTCCAGGAACAGAAAACAAATACATTTTATCTTTAAATTTTGATGTCTTCCACTTCACTATGTTAATAAACAATAGAAAAATTCTAAAGTAAATATAAAAAGGAGTCTCTCTAATGATGCGTTTGAATATAGTATGTATATTCACACAGAGAGACTATTTTATGGAATTATACTCACTACTGTATAAATTAAAGCCCCAAATAAGACAACATATTATCAAAGGCCTATACTTATTACTTGTATAATTCGTAACATAACAGCTTTCAGGAAAATTACATGTTTCTATAAAAAAAAACAACCCACAGTATTCAGTTGAGATTATTCCTTCGAAGCTGTATCTAACCTAGAAATTTGGAGTTTTAGAATGTCATACCTGTAAAATCAAATAATCTTCTTGATGCTATTATCCATCCAGGTCCTTGTCCAACCAAAATTCCTTTTATTAGAAATACATGTATATAAGGACCAGCAGATGATGTAATGGTTACATCACTGGACACCCACATAGTCAACCCTGGTTCAAGTCCTGGATCCAGCAGTTTAAAACTCATGTTGGGTGTGTGTGCATAGCTGCCCAAGGTCCCAAGAGAAGAATGGAGGAGAAGGGACTGCAGCATGGTCAATACCCCCCCCCAGGGGGAAGGGAGAGAAGAATGGAGGAGAAGGGACTGCAGCATGGTCAATACCCACCCCCTCCCCAGGAGGAAGGGTGATTTCTCACTTTCTGTCTTTTCTGTTTCTCTGGAAAATTCACGTGCCCTATAACAAAAAATCTCTCTCTCTCTAAAAAAAAAAAGAAAAAGAAAAGAGAAACATTTATATAGCAACACATTTTTTTCTTTTGCGAAGTATAAACAAGTCATTCATGCTGGTAAAAATGTATGCTTTCTTCTTGTAAGGACATTAAGTCACTTACAGATGCATGTATTGTCCCTTTGTCTTGATAACATAAATTGAAGCTGATTATACATTCTTTTCCCTTAGAGAAATGGAGGCAAAGTGATTTTCCTAAAGTTGGCTTTTGCACAACTGTATCAGTGTTTTATTTATCTGCCAGTTATCATTTCACTTTCTGTGCCTCTATGGTCTGAATGTTTGTGCCCCCTTAAAAATTCAGGGACCAGCAGTTAGCATAATGGCTATGTCGCTGGACTCCCATGTAGTCGACCGTGGTTCAAGTCCTAGACCTGGCGGCTTAAACCCACGCCGGGCACGTTTGCGTGTGTACCCAAGATCCCAAGAGGAGAATGGAGGACACGTTTGCGTGTGTACCCAAGATCCCATGAGGAGAATGGAGGAGAAGGGACTGCAGCGTGGCCATCCCTTCTGGGGATGATTTCTCGCTTTCTATCTCTCTGACTCTCTCTGTCTCTGGAGAGCGCATGCGCCCTATAGCAAAAACGTCTCCAAAAAAAAGAAAAAAGAAGAAAATTCGTATTTCTAAACCTAATCATGAAGATGATGATATTAAAAGGTGGAGCCTTTGGGAAGTGTTTATGGGATTTATGACCTTTTAAAATGCGCCTCAGTGAGCTCCCCTGTCCTTCTACCATGTGAGGACCTGGCAAGAAGGCACCATCTTAGAAGCAGAGCGCCCTCACTAAATATCAAGTCTCCTAGTGCTTTAGTCTTGGAATTTCCAGTTTTCAGGGTTGTGAGCAACAGATGCCTGTTGCTTATAATTTATCCAGTCTAAAATATTTTTGTCATAGCAGCCAAAATGGCTTACGCCACTCTCTGTAAAGCCAATCAGAAGTAATTTTTCACACATGAAGTAACTATTCTTCTATGGTTCTTACATGTAGTTCCATAACTTACCACCAAATTAAAACAAGCTTTTCATGTTTATACTATTGCTTTTCCTAACAACTTTATAACACCCTACTACTTTTACTTAACATATTTTTTCACAGCCTTAACAGTTCAGTTTGAGAGGTTCTGTGAGATGCCTTTGATATGAGAGATTCACTGAGAAAGGAAACTTGGCGCTTAGAGGAAATGGCAAGTTCTGTTTCTAAACACTCAAGTATAGAAATAAATACAACCATGCACTAATGCAGATAACATACTGGCATACTGGCGCCATCACAATAAGGTACTCTACATGAGTTAAGCAGAAAGGAAGGCATTTTGAATACACAGTTAAATAGTAGATGGCAATTTGAACTGCTTGATGTCTTAATAGATACAAAGTTCCCAGTGACTTTTACCTTTTTTTTTTTTTTCTCTTCACCCTTTGATAACCCCTTCAATGGAATCTTGAGAGCTTCAGGCTTCAAATGTGGTCAATGCATAGGAGGTCTAACTTTTCCTAGTGACCTTTTGATGCAAAGTAAAAGGTCAACAGTTAGTATTACACTGAGGCCAACAAAGAATGTAGCCTGGCCTAAATGACAAAGGCTTGTTGTTGGAGGGTAGTTTTTAATTGACTTTCCTGACATTAACGCTTGTTATAACCCAGGCAACTGATAAAGCTGAAGTTCTCACTTCAAAGTCCTGCTTATTACAGATAAGGTATTTGTCAAAAGACATAGGTAACTGTTTACTCATTTATATGAATGCTTTATACACATACTTCCAAATGTTGCTTGTTCTTCCAAGGCACCTGCATGATACAATTTCTTGTTGCCATATGTAAAATGTAGGTATCTCAGAGACAAGAATATGCCCCAAATTTGAGAGCAAACCAATTACTAAAACTTAGATAATGTATCTATATCTATGGTCGAAATTTATATCTCCAATTCCTAAATATTTCAACAGTTATTCCTCTCATAGTCAACTGTGATATGTATGGTATTCTCAGAACATAAAAACTGATTCGCTTTTTCTCCTCAGAAGAGATTCAGTAGTGGCTATGATTCTGAAAAGGAATAAAGGATTCGAGAAAAGAACTTCAGAAATGCAGTATTAAGTACCACAGCAAGCCCAGGTACAATGTATCATCTATAAATAAACATTTTCTATAGCTCCAAGATTACAGAGCTGCAGCTCCCCTCCACCAACCACAGTTTCTTATCACTAGAAAGCAGCAGAAAGACACCACTGAATAAAGTAAATATTCTCCGTTTATTCCAGAGCGTGTGGGTGATGCATACAGGATCCCAAACTGAGAAAAGATTCTGTCTTCTCCCTCCTGCCTTGCTGAGATGACACCAATCATCCTCAATTCCTTGCCTTTTTATGTAGTCACTTCTTCAGTATTCATATTTAATAATGTGTAACCACAACCTGTCATTATAATCAAAGGACAAAATCAAATGTAAAAATATGAATAGAGGCTACATAAAAAAAAAAAAATCAGTTTCTCATTACAGAACCCCTGGCAGCTGCCTTGATTCCTACTTGGCTCCATCATCTCTCTGCCCTTCCTCGGGCCTGGGCTCCCCTTCCCTGCCTTTCATGTCTTGTACCTTGTCACCTGCAGGATAGGAAAAGCACATTCAGTGGTAAAAAATGACCTTTTAAGCAGAGTCTACTTTGACCCCATAAAAACAAGATGGTACAAATCTCCTTTAGCTAGCTACTAAAATATGCCAAATTAGTTCAGCTCTCAGAGCTCCAGATTTTGGAATAAATACAGAAACTAAATATCAAACATCATGTTTTTTTTTTAAATGTATGATGAAATGGTGTACAAATTTAATACAAAATTACACTCTACCTGAGCTTGATGCTTTCACATTTCCCATAGTTGTATTGTCAGAAGTTGTTTTAAGGGATAAGTGCCACTTAACATGACCAAAACAGTGTATTGAAAACAAACTAAACTGGAACTGAAATCAAGAGGCAAGATTGATCTTTCCAAGGCTGTGTAACACGAGAAAGTTTACTCAATTCTCTGATAGTCCCAATGTGTTAATAATGAACATTGATGGGGCCAACCGGTAGTGTGGTGGTTAACAACACTGGATTCCCACATGGCCAACTGCAGTTCAAGTCCCGGACCTAGTGACCTGCTTTCTCACTTTCTATTCCTCTCTCTCTCTCTGTCTCTCTGTGGTCAAATTAAAAAATGATAAATAATAAAAAATGCATTTAATAAATAAATCCTTCTTTTAAAAAAATGAACATAGAATTAAACAATTTTCACTCAATAATCTGAATAATTCTCTCTGGTCCATGTACAAAGGCAGAAACCTGGAGTCTGCCTTCATGCTAACCAGAACTACTTTGATTTGTTTCACATATCAGATTCAATGATCTCTACCAGGCCTTGCCTTACCTCTAAGTCACCCTAGAAAGCTAAAGCCATGGTTATTGACCCTGGCTACAAATTAGAATCCTCTTGGGAACTCAAATATCCTAGTGCCCAGAACACCCCTCCCCCAACAAGAGATTCAATGTGATTTGCCAGGTGGAGTCATGCCAACAATAATTTTTAAAAGCTTCCCAGGTAATTCTCTGCATCTAGGGTCAGGATATCCTGGTTTTGGGGTTTATGAATAGATAAAAGTTTGGGATGTCTGCTTTGTCCCTTCACATTAGCCCACATGCCAAACATCCAAAGCCATTCAGTTGGCAAGAAATTAGGCAGCAGACTTGAAAGAAATTGAATAAATATTGTCTCTCCTTGTTAATCCCTCTGGCTAGACTTTTTGTGTAGATAGATTGTTATAAAGTGAATGTGGGCAGCAGAAGCCGGTGTATCCTGAGGCCACTGACATGAGAAGCAGAGAACTATCTGGGAAAGGCTAGATTGGGATGCACAGAGCTGCCGAGGTTTAGTCCATTTTGTGTAAGTTCGGTAGAGCTTTCTGAGAACCTGCAGACTTCCAAAATCAACGCTTCAGGACTGGATTTCAGCGCCCACATGCCGGGCTTTGCTAGCGTGCGTGGGTGAAGAAGCCTGTCTGCATTTACTAGTGGCAGTCCGTTCTCATCCAGTACATCTAGCCTGCCCATTTCAACAGCTACTGGCACTGCGCTGGCTTTTCTCATTCTGAATTTTGTGACCTAAGACATTTTGGTAGAGAGCAAATCAATAGCCTATTCATTAGTTCCATGATCATTCACCCCTAGACATGGGATCAATTTACATTTCATGCTTTCACAGCCATATTATTTGCAAACTTTGCAACAGAGAGCTGCGTTAATTCCATTCTTTTGCCAAAAACTACACAAATTAATTAATCTGTTTTAAACAGTAGTGAGAAAGACTTTAAAAATTTGAAAGCACCTATTATAAGCATAAACTTGGTTAAATTTAAAGTGGCTTTTATTATGATATGGCAGTATAAACTGATAAATGGTGAATGAAAATAACCATTTATAATTATCCATATCTATAACAATGTATTAATTACTCTAAATCTTACATACACAATCTGAAAAATAGCTTAATAAAATTAGATAAATTATAGCCAGAGACTTTTGGATACGTATACACATGGGAGAATATACAAATGACTAATGAGACTACTAAAATTGAAAAAAAAAATCACAAAGGGCAGAACGGTATCACATACCACTGCATACATCCTTATTTTAAATCGGAGTTTTCCTGTGGGGAAATAACTGAGTCCCATTTAAACTTCTAAATATAATGTCAATTTTTACTTAATACTCCAACACTCAGATTTTAGGGAAAATTGTTAAGGAAGGGAAAGTAAAACAATGACCTTTCATTATCTGAGAATATAAGTGATTAAAAAACGGCGTTAAGATATGATAACTAAGTGTGATGACATTGTTATCTATCATTTAAAATTCCTGTGTGCCAAGCACTAATAGATTCTTTGTGTATTTTTATCTCTATGAACTTTACAAGATGTATCTCATTATTCTTGCGTTACAGGTGAAAAAAAAAAAATGTCTCTTAGACCTAAACTAAATTGCCCAAGTACATTTAACTTGCAATGACAAGTAGATTTAAACCCAAGTCTGCAGTTTTAGCACTCTCTATGTATCAATGAATAAAGTTACTATAATATATAATTGTTAAAATATATGGCAGTTGATAAGCGAATAGGAGAATTAACTTGGTCATTTTAGAAATTGGTAAAACATCCTGGAGGAAATAAGTCATTTATTAGCTAGTTTCTTTGTTATTTCCCTATTTCTTTATCTTCAAAGTAGACAACAGCATCTTCCTCAAAGCATAACCACGCTCATTTAAGGAGATTTCTACAGCCCCCTTCTCCATGAACAGCACCAATATCCACTCAGCTAGATCTTGAAAGTCAGCCTGACCTTATCCAGCGGCCATCAAATCTAGTTATTTTCCCTCTGAAATAGCTCTCAAATCCATTTCTGAAATTCTGTCTCACAGACATACATTAGTTCAAACCCTTATCAATTCTCACCAAAATTATTCTCACAATTCTTTAATACATTCTTATCACTGCTAAGACAATGATTAATTTAATCAGTTACTTTTCTCCAATTCTAATGAAGCATATGCAATAATCCAGCAATTCTTCTCTCAACAGAAATGCACACATGTGGGACCAGTATCTGGGGTGAAGATTAAAGTGCTGGACTCCCACATGGTCAAACATGGCTGATCCCAGACCTGGGGACTTCGAAATAATGCCCAGCACATATGCATATGAGCCCAAAATCCTGAGAGGAGAATGGAGGAGAAGGGATTGCGGTGTGTCCATCCCCACTGGGGGATGAATCCTCACTTTTCTTTCTCTGCTTCTCTGATAAGAGCACATGCCCTGTCACAAAACCTTAGAGAAAAGACAAAAGAAGAAAGGAAAAGAACCAGAAATGCATACATGTGGGTCCAGCCCTGTGCCATGGTAATTAAATGTAGTAAATAACCACGCTCATTTAAGGAGATTTCTACAGCCCCCTTCTCCATGAACAGCACCAATATCCACTCAGCTAGATCTTGAAAGTCAGCCTGACCTTATCCAGCGGCCATCAAATCTAGTTATTTTCCCTCTGGAATAGCTCTCAAATCCATTTCTGAAATTCTGTCTCACAGACATACATTAGTTCAAACCCTTATCAATTCTCACCAAAATTATTCTCACAATTCTTTAATACATTCTTATCACTGCTAAGACAATGATTAATTTAATCAGTTACTTTTCTCCAATTCTAATGAAGCATATGCAATAATCCAGCAATTCTTCTCTCAACAGAAATGCACACATGTGGGACCAGTATCTGGGGTGAAGATTAAAGTGCTGGACTCCCACATGGTCAAACATGGCTGATCCCAGACCTGGGGACTTCGAAATAATGCCCAGCACATATGCATATGAGCCCAAAATCCTGAGAGGAGAATGGAGGAGAAGGGATTGCGGTGTGTCCATCCCCACTGGGGGATGAATCCTCACTTTTCTTTCTCTGCTTCTCTGATAAGAGCACATGCCCTGTCACAAAACCTTAGAGAAAAGACAAAAGAAGAAAGGAAAAGAACCAGAAATGCATACATGTGGGTCCAGCCCTGTGCCATGGTAATTAAATGTAGTAAGTTAGGAGCAGCATTCTACTTGGCTGACCATGGTTCAAATCTCAGCCCTGACCACTTAAAAAACACACTTTGGTGCATGTATGTGTGTACCTGAAATCCTAATGGTAAGGAGGAGGAATGGAGAAGAAGGGATTATAGTATGACCACAGCCCTCTGGGGAGGCTTTCTCTCCCTCTCGTGAGTGTGCACACCCTGTAGCAAAAAAAAAAAAAAGATTTGTGTGTTCACCACATGGCATGTACTGTTATAGAAATTGCCCGATAGCTCCATTCATCATAGATAAAAGTTAGAAATGATCTGAATTCTTAACTATAAAATGAATGAAATAATTGTGACATAATTATTCACACAATTGAATGATATATAGCAATGAGAATAAACAAACTGAACATTACAAGCAAAATGTTTGAAATAATGTTTTTAAAAAATACAACACTAGGCGAGGCTCTTAGAAATTAAAACTGTGCTTGGCCATGGGCATGGGGGATAGAATCTGAAAGGGTATACTAGCAGGGCTCCATTTTTCAGTGTGGGTCCTAGCCAGGTTACATCCCAGGTCGTCAGCTCCTGGGCAGTGGCCTGCACTGGTCCATGGCCTGTTGCCTGCCACCCCTCACTGCTAGGGGAGGGTGGTAGGTGACCAAGGCTTCATCTGTGTTTGCAGCGATCGCTGCCTTGCTGCCTGGATTCTGCCTCCTGTCAGATCAGCAGTGATATTGGATTCTCGTGGGAGTTCGACACGTATTTCTGTGTCATTGGTTCATTGCACACTACAATATGGTAGTGGTGAAAATGGGTGTGCAGTGGATGTGATGTGCTTGGGTCATCCTGGGGCCACCCCCACCCCCACCCCCGCACACACACAGCTGTGGAGGAATTGTCTGAGGTTATTCTCGTAAGACATAAAACCTGCCACTTGATTTCATTGTCAGTAAAATCAAACAAAAATATTTTAACCATTGCCTTTAAAAAGGACTTATTGATTGTTA